CGACCTGTAGAGACATAACCATAAGCAAGCGAGCTGAAGCATTTTTTTCTTTAAATTTATTAAAGGGTCATGAAATTTATTCTTCAAGCCAACCTGGTGCTAAAATTTTTTTATAACTCCGCCGGTGCCATTCTTATTGTTTTAGTTATTGCACAGCCAGTCCCAAGCACGGGTAAAAGGGGAGGGTTACTCACATAGTTTATATCTTGTAGTTTTATGATAAATTATGTCATTTTTTTCTTCTATGCTCACCATTCAATTATCAAGGAAAAGAACTCTAGACAGTAAGGTAACCTTGAGCAGGTTGACTTGGGATTATATTTCTAGAAACAGGTTAAGCATTGGTTAAATATAAATTACAAAATGCTTGTTATCTATGACTTTTTACAAGATATAAAAAGATTATTACATGAAATTTATTGAATAATTCATGTGTTTCATATTCACTTTTCTGGATCTCCTTATGTATTCAATAATACCATCAAAATGATAGAATCGAAATCCTTCAGGTTGGATCTAAATTACAAAATGTTAGTTATCTATGACTTTTAACAAGATGTAACTAGGTGAAGGATTATTACGAGCAATTTATTGAATAACTGGTTATTGCCTGTGTCTGAAGACACAGAGTAATAAAAAACAGTAAACAATAAATATATTTACATTTATATCCAAAATTAAATCACAAACATAGAGAAAAAATAAATAGATTTAAGCATCTGTTTGTCGTGGGGGTGAGAGATGGTGAGCGGCAGTGGTGGTGGTAGGAGACAGTGATGGTTGTGGTGGTGGCGGCAACAACGGTGGTGGTAGTGTTAGCGGCGGTGACGACGGTGGCGATGGTGGCGGGAGTGGCGGTAGTTGTGGTACCAGCGGTGACGGTGGCAGCGGTGTTGGTGTTGGTGTTGGTGGTGGCGGCAACGGTGGTGGTAGCAGTGACAGTGGCGGCGATAGTAGCGACGGCAACAACGGTGATGGTGGTGGTAGTGGTGGCGGCGACGGTATTGGTAGGGATAGTGGCGGGGCGGTTTCAAACACTATTTGTTTTTTAAAGTATTTATGAAAAATAATTTCTAAAAGTACTTTTAAAAAGTCACTTCAAACACACCCTTAGACCCCCTATTTTTTTTTATTAAATTTAATATGTTAACATTAGCCGTTAGATTAATTTTAAAATAAAATTTAAAGCAATCTCAACCGCAAATAGTAAAAGTCATTTTGTTTATCTTTTGAAATTTGAATTGTAAACAACTTTATTATATAAATTTACTAGTTATTGTTTGTGCGTGAAGGTACAGAGTAATAAAAAATGGTAAACAATAAAAATCAAATCACAAACATAAAGAAGAGATAAAAGAATTTAAACATCGGTTTGTAGTGAGGGTGAGAGGTGGTGGTGGTAAGAGACAGTAATGGTTGTGGTGGGTGACAATGATCGTGGTGGCGTTAAGGGCGGCGACGGTGGCGGCAATAGGGGTGGTGGTGGAGGCGACGGCGGTAGCGGCAGTGGTGGTGGCAACGACGGTGGTGGTGGCGACGGTAGCAGTGGTGGTGGTGGTGGTGGTGGTGGCGACAGTGGTAAGACGATTTCAAACACTATTTTTGTTTAAAATATTTATGAGCTAATTTTTAAAATTACTTTTAAAAAGTCACTCTAAACACATTCTTAGGAGCATATTTTTCTTATTAAATTTAGGGTGTTAATATTAGCCGTTAAATTAACTTTAAAGTAAAATTTAAAGTGATTTCAACCGCAAATAGTAAAAATCATTTTGTTTATCTTTTGAAATTTGAATTATAAGCTACTTTATTATATAGATGTGTTTCATATTCATTTTTTCTAGATCTCCTTATATATTCAATAATACCATCAAAATGATAGAATCGTAATACTTCAGGTTGGATAGTTTTTTTTTTTTTTTTAAGAAAAGAGAAAAATTTTATTGAATGAAACAAAGAATTACAACAATCAACCAAATGAAAAAATTCAAAATACATCCAAGGCTTTAGCCCTTCAAAATTCCTTAGAACCAAATTTTACTACTTCCAAGAAACCAATCTCCAGCCAAGAAAAAACAGAGGCAGCAAACCTCTGCATTCTTGCAGCAGGCAGTAGAGTCTGATTCCACAGCAGCAGCATTCTTCCAGTATTAATCCACTTCATACCTGCTGACCACCAATCACAGTCTTCTTCATCCTTGCAACAGGCATTCCAGACTGGTCCTGCTGTAAAAGCAGGCTTCCAGCCAATGGCAGAATACCACTGACTGAAAAATCAACATAAAGTCCAGCTTGAACAGCAAAAGAAGCCAGAAAATCAGCAATTACATTCGCTTCCCTATAAACTTGCCTTAACTGGAACTGAAGCTTACCAAGCTCCCTCCAAATCTGCTCCAATATTCCTTTAAGTCTCCAAGGAACTTCTGCCTTCCCCCTAACCATCTGGACCAGCACTTGAGAATCAGACTCAATGCAGAAATTATAATCCTCCAATCCATACTGTCTGATTAATTTCAAACCATCCAAGAGAGCTAAACACTCAGCTCTCATGTTGGAACCTTCACCATAGTAAGCAGCAGCAGCCAAAACCACATGCCCCTTCAAATACCTCACAACCATCCCACCTCCAGACAAACCACTACTCCCTTTGGAAGCACCCAAGGATCAAAATTTCGTTTCGAAGTACCGTTTCGGTCAACTCAAAAATAGAAACGTTTCGGAAACATTTCGGAAACGCAGAAAAAATATAGAAACGCATAGAAACACAAATACAATCCATTAATTTATAAAAATATGCTAAATAATTGATTAATTCAATATATTTATTAGGTTAACATCAATTTATACAAGAATAAATTTAAATTTGAGGGAAAAAAATGCTTGACATGAGGCGAAAGTCACTTAAATTAGTTTCAAACACTTAATTTTTATGAAATAAACACATTTTTACATAATATTAAGGTCTTATAATACACATGAAATGCTAATGAGTACATACTTACATGGTTACATCCATCCCCCTGTGGAGTGTCGAGCAGGCTCATACATCGGTGTAAGCTCTGGATAGTTACTTAGAGAAACTCCATATGTGACATAAATATGATGACAATAGTTACTCCAAATCATATTATTACGGTAATATTATCCAATTAATAATACTAATAATGAAGGGTATCAAATTAAATTAATGATACTCATGTATACTTAAAAATTAAATGTAATTACAGTGGGTATTAAATGTAATTACAGTAGGTATTAAATATAATTACATTAGGGTATTAAATGTAATTGTTAATACTTATAACAAAAAAAAAAGCAAAAAACTTGCACAGCAGTAAGATATTAAATATAATTACAGTAGATATTAAATATAATTATAATGGGTATTAAATATAATTATAGTAGGGTATTAAGTTTAATTATTTATTCTTATAACAAAAAAATTATAAAAGACAGAAGAGCAGTGAGAATTAAATGTAATTATAGTGGGATATTAAATATAATTATAGTGAATATTAAATGTAATTACAGTGGGTATTAAATGTAATTATAATGGAGTATTAAATGTAATTATTCATAATAAACCGAATATATCACTGTTTTGTCGAAACGGTCCGAAACAATGCCGTTTCGACCAAAACGGTCCGAAACAGTACCGTTTCAACCGAAACACTGGAATTTTGTGATTCAACTACTGTTTCGTTTCGGAGTGTTGAAATTCCGAAACGTTTCAGACGTTTCGGATGTGTCGACACGACATTTTGATCCTTGGAAGCACCATGCACATTAAGCTTCATCATACATTCAGGTGGAGGCTCCCATTTAATCCACTTTTCTCTGGTCACCACAGAAAAGGGAGATCCAATCTTAACCTCATGCAGCCATTCCTTTCCCCTATAATCATCCCCTCTCTTAGGCTTAATCATAAAAGCCTGCCACCTTAATGCACTAACCACCTGAAAATATAAGGCATATGCATTTAATTTCAACCCCTCAAACCTTCTTCTACACCTCTCCTTCCATAATGCCCAAAAAATCAGCATAGACACTCCTCTAATCAAACAATGACTCAGAGAATGAGCTTTAAAACTCCTCAACAATCTCGGAAATCTGCACATGGCAGATTCTCCTACAAGAATCTCAAAACCCATAACAGCAGACACCCTTCTCCACACAGCAAGGAGCAACTAATAAACAGGTGGGAAGCACTTTCCTCCTCCTCACAACAAAGACTACACCTTTCAGGTTGGATAATTAACCACAATTTTGTGAATAATAACTAACATTACTTGAGCAACATATAAAATAACCCATACACAACAATATTTCATTCAAACATTCCTTCCATGGAACTACAATCATAAATTTTATTGCAGGTTATATATAAATTTCGTTTACAACACACATCCATGAGAGCCAAAACTCCAAGCCTAAGGTTTTTTACTGTCAATACATAAATATCAATAGCCTTGGATATGTATCTCATACGAATCAATTCTGTACTTTATATTTCAAAATTCTAGCCCAATAAGTCTCTTGAAACTTTGAAGCTATATAGCATGGCAAAAAACCTTGATCCTGGGTGTGGGTGGCGTCAAAAACTTAAGTGGCCACTTGTGAAGTTCATGCAGAAGCAGTTAGAAGAACAATTTGAACTGAAAATTTTCTGCATATTACTAAAATAAAAATACTAATATGGTTGCTCAATTTTAACGGAACATATGATTGTTCATCACAACTATTTTCTAAGCCACATCCAAGTTGTTAATGTGGATATAGAAAAGGGAAAAACAACATGAGTGGAAGCCTTTACAAATGGTGTTCATAAAATGTAAATGTTTGTACCAGTTTATGATGGAAAGCACAAAAGTCTCGAATAATTTGAGAGATTCATTTCCACAAACTAGAAGATCTCCTATAATTTTACAAAATACTATTCATACACTAAAAGATCTGGATTTCTCGGCTATGAGCTTTATCAGTGGTCACAACAGCTGTACCTAACCAACAGATCCTTCAAGCTTCAAGCTCATGAGCTGGTTCACTTCAGCACCAAATTCATCAGGTAGCTCGTTGAAGACATCCCTGCAAAACCCAGAAATCATGGCAGCCATGGCTTTTTCATAGTCGATCCCTCTCTGCTGGAAGTAGAACAGCTGATCTTCACCAATTTTGGAAGTGGTAGCTTCATGCTCAACACGGGTTGTGTGGTTCTTCCCCTGTGAAAAAATGAAAGCAACAAACAAGAGTCCAACAGAAGTCCCTCTTTATATAGACAATTGAGTAAAAGCAAGGTGCATTGACCAAAAGAAATTGTGTTAAATACTGAAAAAGCAATCTTGACAACATCCGTCAGCCCAATTAGTAATCTCAACCGCAGTTTTCTATATTTTTCCCTCATCATTCATATTTGTTTCCCTAAAATAAAAAAGAATCTACACAAATCATAAATTGGAGACACTGGCAAAAACACCTACAGGGAAATCGGCATATGATGGAAGATAGTAAATAGATAAGCAAGGAAGTGAATGAACAGATAATTCCAACATGTATGCCTAAACACGATAGATTATTTTCTACGCAAAATCAAGTTATCATTTCAATGATGATTTCAACTTCCTTCAATGCTTATATGATTATCAAATTACAAGCATCTCTATAGTGACGTTTCTCGGACAGGTTAAATGGGTAGGCAACGTACTCAATGCCTTAGTAGCTTGTTGACCCTGCATGGTTTGGCCAAGACATTCAATGGTCATAATTTTATCATCAATTATCCTAACTCTAGGCACTCAAAATTTTCCACATCTATACTACTTTAAAATATCAGCATATTTGAAAAGAAAAAAAATTTCTACTTCTACCCTTCAAAATCATAGCTATGTCATTTTTATCCCTCAAAATTAAAGGTGGCGTAAACCTTTTTTCTCAATTAAACCTATATCATCACACTGCCTCCTCAAATTCTGATGTTACAATTATTTATTCTCTTCCCTTCCCTGCGTATTCAGGAGTCTGTGAAGACCAACCAGCCGCACGATCCTCTCTTCAACCAGCCACACAAGCCCTCTCTGCATCTTCCCCCCTGAGTCTCCTGTGTATTCATCTCTCCCCTTGCGTATTCTAAACTCTTAAAAACAATCAGGTGAAGAGTTACCCATCAATTCATCTTTTCTTAACTACCCAACTTCTCTGTTTTTTTTTTCTTAATGCCTTTTCTGTGGCTATACAGATTCCAATAGTTAATTTGCAAGATTGCAGTGAATGCACCAGTAACCGATTAGAATAGCAAGAGTTTCAATTTTGGAAATTTTCCACCTTTTATATTCAGCATTGTTGTCAGTTCACTCACTTCTCCTTCCCTTCTCTCTCTTAGACGCACACAAATTGTCTTGCTGAAAAAAATTGTGCAACCATTGTACTGCTTCCACAGGTACTAAATTTTTGCTATAAATCTTTTCCCTATTCTCTGTCTGGCCTTTTCATACATTGGTTTTGTTTCCCCTCTGCTGTTTTATTTTTTGTTCTTTCATTGTCCTTTATGTACTCATGTTTGATTGGTTCATATGAATAGGTTTTGGTATTTTTATAATGTTTGTACAACTAAAGAAGATAACTACAGTAACATGGCTTATGTTTAGGTGGGATTGGGCTGCCCTTACAGACAGGTTACACAACTATAGTGGCAGAGTTTAGTGGCTTGCTTTCTATTTTTAATTCAACAGTATAGGCATAGCAGATATGATGATGTTTGATATTTAGACAGCTTAAATTCTTTAGAATACCTGAGGATACTAATCAAATGGCATGGAGCAGTTATTTTTTGTTCCTTAAAGGTATTAAAGTGATAGCATTGATTGTGCTGGAATGTCCTTGCTGGATCTCATCTATCCTTAAAGAGTTTTTTTTTCCTTTGAGTCTATGTTTGGACATGAATTCTCTTATTGTTCATTTACATTGTTCAGGAGATAATCCTTAACAATTTCTAAGGATTTTATGGTTGGAAAACTTGCTCTTATTCCTAACGAATATCCAACTTTCAATGATTGGGAGGTTCATCTGGAAACCATATATCCTGAGGTTTCACAACTGCATTTGAGATTAATTTGCAGAAATCCTTGATTGCAATGATGTCACTATAAAAAAATATGTAACCATATATATTCGTGATGATACTGATGAACATGTACCAATGACACTCTTTACTTTCAAGTTAAGATTAAAAGATTTAAATTCTTAGAGATGAGGGGTACTGACAAAGGACCTTTGAGGAGTTTATGTGCACTCCCTGCATTTTGGGTGTGTGGCCTCTTTCATTTATGTAACAAACTGCTTTAATGTCTTAATTATTGGAACATTTTTTTGATCTTTTGCAAATATTTGTATTTTTGCAGGCTGTTATACCAACGCAACCACCATTGTTGTTTAGTTTGTGTTAAATACTATTATTAATGCTTAGTTCCTTCCTGAGAATTAGTTCACTATGATGTTAAAAATTTCAGGTGGGTCAATTATAAGATGAGATTTTCTTACAAAATGTTCTGCACATGACAGCTGATTAGACCTCGGAAGAAGGAGAGCTGTTGAGGAATAAGATAATCTACCCATATTGAGATGGGCCATCCGAAGGCCGGTACACTTAATTATACTTATTACTGTTTAAGTCCATCAAGGAAAGTATTTTAAAAGAAGTCTAATAGTGAGAAAAAAAGACTACGCTATCCTTCAAAGAAATACTCTAGCTGTCTAACCGGATTAGGAAACACATAATCCCATCTTTTTTATTCACAGCAAAATAAAAATTCCCATGAACCCATTCACTCATTTAACGTTAGAGAGAGTTTTTTTTTTTGCTATGACTTCTATTCGGTCATGCACAATTCTCACTGGTTTTACTTTTTTTTTTTTTTTGAAAAAGTGAAATTTTATTCCATGAAACAAAATTTACAAGAAGCAAATAGGATCAAACCAAATTGGCTTAATTCTTCAATACACTCTATAATCCAAAAATTTACATCAATGAAATTTCAAAAATCTCAAAATTGCAAAAAGGAAATTCAGATAAATTTCCTCTTCTTCCTCAGCAGCTAAAGCACTTGCTAGTCATACAATAACAGCAGCCTTGCCTGCACAGACTGCTCTTGGATAAAACCAGATCAGACTCCAATTCAGAGCTCCAATCATCTCCAGCACAGCAGCATATCGGCACTGCAGCACCATAGCTCAGCAGCTTAACAATGCAATATGGCAAAGCTGCACAGCAGGTAGACCAATGCAGTCAGCACCTCACAGCACCAGCTAAGCACTTTACTTGCTCTATCCAACACCAGTATCCTCCTTATACTCACAAACCAACTTCTTCTTAGTACGCAACACAGGGAGTCCCCTACTATCCTGCATCAATACCATTCTGACTACAGCAGGCAGAAAACCAGCACTAGACAGATCAGAAGAACTTCTGTCCAGTACTGCCTTATTAGCTAGGCAGTCTGCTACCATATTTGACTCCCTACAAATATGCCTCAGCTGATACTCCAAATTTCCTAGTAACATCTTTATTTGATCTAAGAATCTCAAACAATGCCATGCACAGCCACCTTTCCCCAACATAGCATTTACCAAAACAAGGGAATCTGATTCAATTAAAACTTTATTCCCCTCCAAACCATATGCCTTTAATAATTCCAACCCATCCAGAAGAGCCCTAAACTCAGCCACCATTTTAGTTGCCTCCCCATAATAAAAGGAGCCAGCTAATACAACAACACCCCAGTCATTTCTCAGCACAACACCTCCACCTGCAGGCCCTGGGTTCCCCTTTGAGGCCCCATCTACATTAAGCTTAAGCTAACCACACCTAGGCCTTTCCCAACAAATCCACCTAGCAAAAATCTCCACATGAAAAGACACCTTAATTTTGAGCCAGTATAAAAGACCCATATCAGCTCCAAATCCTTTACCTTAGCTTTTACATTTCTCCCTTGATATCTCAAAATACTACAGATTTTAAGATAAATGGAGAAAGAGTTTAAACAACCTTCCCCTGCCACCCTTCTACACCTCTCTTTCCAAACCTACCAATAAACTAACAATGGCATGCTTCTGACTAAACCATGAACAATAGATGACTTCTTAAAGATCCTTCCCAATCTTCTAAATCTTACCAGTGGGCCC